CCGCGTAGAGCAAGCCCAAGTTGTTGACCGTGTTGAGTGTTGATGTATGGTCTAGTCCCCATGCCCTCTCTTTGCCTTGCAGCGCTCGCAAGGACATCTTCTCCGCCTCGTCAAGCCGTCCCAGGTCCGCGTAAAGCAATCCTAAGTTATTAACCGTAGAGAGTGTTGATGTATGGTCTGGTCCCCATTCCTTCTCGTAGCCTTGCAGCGCTCGCAAGTACATCTTCTCTGCCTCGTTAAGCCGTCCTAGGTCCGCGTAGAGGGCGCCTAAGTTGTTGACTGTGTCAAGTGTTGATGTATGGTCCGGTCCCCATGCCTTCTCTTTGCCTTGCAGCGCTCGCAAGTACATCTTCTCCGCCTCGTCAAGCTGTCCCTGATTCAAACATACGCCCCCAAATTTATGCAGAATCCAGACCTTCCTATCCTCATCCAACTTGCCGTCAATGATAAACCCCCAACACCTTGCCAAGTGTCGCAGAAGCCGACGCTGAGTCAGCCACGAGTGCTGTACATTATTCTCCGGTACATGTCTACCTATACAATCCACAGCCACCCCAGCCATCTCAGAATCCCATGTCTGGTTGACTACATACACCGTCCATGAGTGCACACAGCTGTGCATCCCGTACCCCTGAGACTCAACTACATTTCCTTCAGAGGACTTGTCCACATCTACTAACCCGTAGTCGCATAGCACCCTCACTGCCTCGGTAAAAATCAGCTCATCCTCGGTTAGTTGACAAAGCCATTGCGGTCCACCAGTCCTCCCCTCTCTCAGAAGCTCAAACCAGAGGTCATGGTTGTCAAAATATGCCCACAGCTGAAGCAGCTTAGATGATGCTTCGTTCTGCTGCTTAATGTAATCGAAAGATAACTGCCATGTTGAGTACAGTTGCCGGTCTTCGTATGTGCTTACTTCAGGGCTCATTTGTTGCAACCTTCGCCATGACGCCCGGTACAGACCAAGGTAGTCAGCAAAGCTTGTTGCTACCTGATCAAGGTAGGCGCCTGCCGTAGCTAAAGCTAATGGCAGTCCATCCAGCTCTCTAGCAAGCTCGGCAGCATTAGGATCTAGAAGCGTGAGCGTTGCGTCTATAGCGCACTAGAGTACAGGAATTCAAACAACTCACCGTCTATCACACCCTCGCGATGTGATGCATCAGACAGGATCTGCAGACTGTCGCGGACGTCTTCTAACTTGCCTACCTTCACGCGAAGGCCTATACTGACCTTCGATGACCTTGTCGTAACGATTACCGAGCCATGGTGTGCTTCGGGCAGAAACTGCCGGATATCAACTACACCAGGATCCGCATTGCCTGGCACCTTAGGGTTGTCGTAGTTGTCAAATACTATTAACCACTGCGTGTTCTTGGCATGCTCCAGCCACTGTTTGACCGCTGCTACCACTTCATCTTGCTTCTTGTCATCTATGAAAACACCTAACTGGCTGGCTGACGGGCAGTCCTGCAAGATCCGCTTTGCTAGCCGCGAGTAGCTCTGCTTCACTGACACTTTGTCTTTGATGTTTAGCCAGAATATCGCCGAATAATTGTCTCGATGGGCCATGGCGTATGCAACCGCCAGCTGCGTTTTCCCGATCCCGCCTAGGCCGTGCAGAGTGACTGCTTGACGACCGGTGCCCTCGCTGAGCGCCTTGTGCATTATAGCTAGCTCCGCTTGTCTCGCAACAAAGTGATCGGTCCTAGAGGCCTCAGACAAGCTCAAGACGACAGAAAAGCTCTCTTTAAGATTGCTTCGAGCTATAGACAGTTACTGTCATCGCTATTATTGATAACCATATACTAGGGCTACATACCCGCATTAACCCTAACCTCTTCTTCCCACTGTAGGCCGATAACGCTGCCTGCACTTTCAACCATAATGGTTAAATGGTCTAAAACTTTCTCATAGTCATTATCCTCTTTTGACTCAAACTTGACCATTTCTTTGTGGTCCGCGTGGATCATGATCTGCTCAGCGTCGGCTGCGCCT